GAAGACCCACCAGCAGTGGTGGAAAAACCACTGGCAGCAGTGAAAGAACCACCAGCAGCAGAAGACCCACCAGCAGTGGTGAAAAACCCCCCAGCAGCAGAAGACCCCCCTGCAGACAAAGCATCGCTGGCAGAAACTGAGAGCCTACCTGGCCACAGCACCCACCCAGCTGCCGCCGAGCTCCGGCACAGCCAGATAGGTTGGAGTCTTTTCTTGTCGGTGTGCTGTAGCAGCGAGAGTGACCTACTATCAACCCCCGGTGAAGCTGAGCTTGGCACATTAAACCGCGCCTTGTGCATGGCCATCTCCTAACGCTTGTGCTTCCCGCGCCTGCCCCTAACCGCTGCACGGCTGGGCCGGCCGCGGGCATCGAGGGCACAGGCAGGAGCCCGCAGACCGTATCGCAGCAATACCAAAGCTGGCCGACGGTTCCCTCACTGCACTTTAAGCCTGTGATTTCTTCTCTGGGTTGTGGACATGGATAAGATTTTTAATATCCAGGCCCCCTTTCAGCACCCACAAACCTCTACCCTCAAAGTCCTCCAGACCCCCAGCTTTTTTGGTGTAAGGGCAGGATGTTGCCCAGGCTGGTGGGTCTCTTCTCCACCAAGCCCTTGCCTGATAGGAAAGGTGCGAAGAGCTAATTCAGACCGATGAGTTGCTGAAGCACCGTCTCTGGCCACATTTGGTCAGTGAAAGGCTAGCTAAGGAAAAGGGACACCCCCCACCATGATTGCCTAGAAACGCTTGTGGACTTTGGCCCACGGGTTGGGCAGTGACCTTCGGACACAGCTGAGCCTTTTTCTGCTTTCATCTGTAACATCTCAGCTCAAAAAAGCTCTCATTTTTACTAAAAGAGAAACCCAGTTTGGTCTCTGTGGCTTTTACTTGGCAAGTCAAAAGGTCTTCCTCAGCCCTACACTTGGTAGACACTCAACACAGTCCCAGGGTTCTTTTTTACACAGTCCCAGGGCTCAGCAGTGCCCAGCTTGGCCAAGGCGCCCCCAGACCTGTCCCCAAACCCCCACTAAAGTCCAACTTGGCTCCTGATATCAAAAAGCACTTGGAGCTGCAGGAGGTCCTTGGTGTGACAGCACCTCCAGGCCAAGGACACCTCTGTCTCCCTGTCCTGGGGACACTGAGGTGCCAAACCAGGGGGAGGGCAGCTGCCTCACACTCCCCAGGCCTGGCATGGAGACGTGGGGTCCCCAGGGAGAGAGCTTCAGCATGATCTGGGGACAGAGGTGGGAGAAGTGGGAGGGAATGACCTTGGTGGCAAAGGCAAGAGAGCCAGGATGGGTCAGTCTCTGAGGAGCCAGCCCCAGACTTGCACACCATCACGTCTCTGGCTCCATGTGTCATTTTCCAGGGGAGTGGACAGCCAGAGGCAGAGCAGAGCGTGGCTGCAGTCAAGGCTTAGCCCTGGAGGAGCCGTAGCTGCCGGGGGACACGCCGGGATGCAGGTGCTGGTTGTGCTCACACCACACCCCAGCCCCGGGAGCCCCTTCCAGGCACATCCTTCACATTTTCCATGAGCAGCCAGCCCTCGCTCCCTGCGGTGTGCCTCCCTCACCAGCCCCTCCTCGGAGCCAAGCAATGCTTCCCCGGCAGCCACAGCCCTGGCAACCTCCACCAAGTCTCCAGGAGCCTCTGCAAAAGAGAAAGCGTGTGGTGTGCCAAAGGCGATGGTGGCTGCCAGGCACACGGCAGGTCCATGGGCTTGGGATGTGTGTGCTCCCCCATGCCCTCTCCCCAGCAGTCGCTTGTGTGAGCTCCTGTGTGGTCCTCAGCTCCAGCAGTAACAGGTCTCCTTGTCTTTCCCTCCAGAAGAGGTTGAAGATGCCAGCGAGCCGACCAAGCGTGACCGGTCCCACTTGGAGAACACCCTCAAGCTGAACGAGGACAAACCCGCTGATGATTTCTCAGGTGAGGGGGCCTGAGCAGCACTGAGCCATGTATACCCTGCTCCTTCAGTCCAGGTTCCTCACCACTCTGCTTCACCAAGAGCATGGATGGGATTTGCCTTCCCTAGAGTGCTTTGGTTTTAACTGTACTTCTTGTAGGCCCAGCAACACCGTATCTTCAATAGCAGCCCTTTTGCTGCTCTTGGGTTAACATACCTGAGGTATTTTAAAGACAGCCCCAAGGGCACACAAAAATTAGGAGGGTAGAGAGGAGGCTGGAAAAGGCAGATGGTGAATCAGCCCAAGGCAGCCACGCTGCTGCCCAGAGAAACCTGGGGCAGCTGGGAATAAAGGGTTTGGATTTTTATTCCAATTATTTATTTGGCTTTAGCTATTAGAAGACTGGCTTCTGCTGGCCCTGTGGGCAGTCTGGATTCTAAAGAAAGTGATAAAAGCTGCTGTGGAAAAAGCTCCTTCTTTCTTCTAGCCAGCAGCTTAAAGGCCATGTCACCAGTCCCTGGCATCATGGTGGAGGGCTTTTGGGATTATGGGTGTTGAGTGCTAAACTGCATTCACAGGAGATGTTCCCTCCATCAGCTGCTGGCACGTGCAAGATCAGCAGCAGATGGGGACAGCGCCCATCAGGAAACATTATCAGGGAGGGGCATCAAAATGCGTGACTGGGATCAGTTTGGCCAAGATTTCAACTGTAAGCCAAGTCCCTTGATCCATGGCTGAGTCACTCTCAAGATCTGCAGGGAATTCCCAGCAGCTTACCTAGGAGGAACTCAACCACGGTGGTGGGGTTTGCCTTTCACCCATCTGCATGCTTCTGTCCCTGCAGGAGTACTGCAGCGGCTGAGGAAGATCTACCATGCCTCCATCAAGCCCCTGGAGCAGTCCTACAGATACAACGAGCTGAGGCAGCATGAGATCACAGGTAATGCCACAGGCACCGGGGTCTCCAGCACCATCAGGTCATTGGGCTGCAGATAACAGCACAGAGAGCAGATCATGGAAAGGCTCAGATAGTTCATCTTCCTTTGTAGCTTCCCAAGAAGGCCATGAACATGCTGGGCTTAGAGGACATGCCCTAGTG